GGCACACCACTTCTGAAAGGTTGCCGACCCCTGCTTTAGTCTTTACTCAAATATATTCCCATTGAAATCACTTGTTAGGAAACCAAGCTGATGTTTTGTAGTTCCTCAATACACAATGTTAACAATAAACACATTGAGTGAAATTCTTGCACGACTGAAATCAATGCCAAAGTCCCATTGAGTCAATGGAGCCAGAAAGTCACCCATTGTGATGTATCTTAGGGTATGTCTACACTACGAAATTTAGGTCGAATTTATAGAAGCCAGTTTTATAGATATCGGTTTTATACAGTCGATTGTGTGTGTCCCCCACATAAAATGCTCTAAGTGCATGAAGCCGGCGGACCGCGTCCACAATACCGAGGCTAGCGTCGACTTCCGGAGCATTGCACTGTGGGTAGCTATCCCACAGTTCCCACAGTCTCCGCCGCCCATTGGAATTCTGGATTGAGATCCCAATGCCTGATGATGCAAAACAGTGTCGCGGGGGGTTCTGGGTACATACAAGAAAGGGCTTCGTCGTGTGGACGTGTCCAGGCTTAATTCGATTCAACCCTGCTAAAGTCGACCTAAACTCATAGCGTAGACCAGGGCTCTCACTATGTTTTCCTATAAAATATTATAGGGCAAGGGGAAAATATACTGAAGATGTAGGGAAAGAGAACTGACATTTTACAGTACAGTACAAATGATATACTATTGTTCCTTAGTTTGGCAAGTTCAGTTTACTCATTATAAACACCATTCTGCAAAAAGGTATAATTACCAGGTCATTAAAAGTATTCTCAGAGTATAATGAGGGATGCTGGGCCAGACTGCATCTGACATGTGCACGCTGAATGGAGGAAGTTTTTTTCCCCATTTCACCTCCCCAGAGGCACAGTGTGGAGAAAATTTAAGGGGTGACATTTTCAAGAGTGCTTAAGTGATTTCGGACACTTTTCAAAGTTCCCTTTTCAAAAGTGATTTAATAATATCATCTAGCTTTATATAGCATGTTTCATCAGTAGATCTCAAAGTGCTTTACAAAGGACCATTATCCCCTTTTTACAGATAGGGAAACCAAGGCACAGAGGTGAGGTCACTTGTCCCAGATCACACAGCAGGCCAGTGTCCGAGTTGAAAAGGAACACAGGTTTCCATAGTCCAGTGCTCTATCCACTAGGCAATACTGTCTCCCTTCGGGACAGATTTCAGTGGAAGTTAGGTACCTACTGTGGCTTTTTTGAAAATCCCACTAGACGCCTATCTGCAACTGCCCTAACCACTGCATCAGCCTTCTCCAGCTATATATAGTACGGTCTGTCCCTATAACTTCCTTCGATCTCTCTCGCAAAGAAAATTATGAAGACAAGTTAAGCCATTATCCAGTGTAGTTCCATTAGGGTCACAATATTTGATTGTTGTCAATGGAGTTGTGCCTGTTTATATCAGGGCTGCATTTAGCCCATAATATGTTGCTTAAATACATTTATATAAAAGAAATTTAATATTTAGACAACTTAGAAGGTTCTACCAGTATAATTTGTCATGGTTTCTGTGGCACTGAACAATGCAGTGAGAAGGTGGAACAAAACCGTTTATTTTACAGTGAGCATTTTTGCCTTTCAGAATCTGTGATGATCTTAGTCCTGCTAAAAGATTGGACCATTTACAGGGACTAGACTGATTTTTATTCTTATTGTGCACGTTTTTCAGTATTTCCCTACTGGGGTTTTTAAATACTTTAGGAAGATAATCCTTACCTAGGCTGTGTCGCTAATTAGAACATTTAACCAAAGCCAATAATTACAACTGTGCTAAATCGCACTGAAATTTTACAATGAGTATGTTCCATGGGGAAAAAGGTCTAAAGCACAGAGGATAAAAGCCAAAACAGTATTTTATTGTCTGAAGATCTCTAGCATTCTGTCTGGTGGGTTAGGGTAGTATCCACCCAGGAGGCAGAAGGCCAACATTAGATTCACAGGAGCCCTGCATAGTCGCTGATTTCAGGGGTCACAGATGGAGCCATTGCACAGGGATGTCTGTGCACCCCATTTTCACCTCAGAAAAGATCTCCTTACTGGTCCTGTACAGTCTAGTGAGGACAGACTCAGTCAGAGCAGGACCACTGTTTCATACTTAAGTGGATCTAGTTGCCTTATACCCCACACAACCTGTGCAGAGAGAGTACAGCTTCTGTCTCACATGAGGCCTACTCCCGAACCCAGTGTTTGGCAGGTGCGTTTTACTGCACCCATATAGAATCTGAACCAAAGCTCAATGAAATCAATAGAAGTCTGTCCATTAACTTCAATGAGTGCTGGAAAGGTCCACAAGGTATATCTACACTGCAACAAAACACCCACAGCTGGCCCGTGTCAGCCGACTTGGGCTTGCAGGACTCGGGCTGTGGGGCCATAAAATTCAGTGTAGATGTCCGAGCTTGAGCTGGTGCTCAGGCTCTGGACTCCACAAGGGGGGAGTGTCCCAGAGCTGGGCTCCAGCCCCAAGTCCAGAAGTCTACACTGTAATTTTATAGCCCCATGTCCCGAGCCTTGCAAGGCCGAGTCAGCTGACTCAGGCCAGCCACAGATGTTTTATTAGACACCATAAGGTCCAAAGATTCAAGCTTTAGGTGGGTGCAGCAAGTTCTTACTCTGGCCCTCACCATGCATGAAGGTGATAGAAATGTTGTTAATGATTAGATTTAAACCATCATGAACTATATCAGTTTTCCTTCTAAATCTCATTCAGGATTGTAAATACAATCTTTTGTCATTGTTGAGTCTGGGCCAAGAAGTAAGTTAGGAAAATTAAATTAATGCCATTCCACCCTAGCATTTAGAAAAGGCAAGTTAAGCAGCTGCCAGTTATTCTAAGTAATTCAAAGTACATTTAAAAAAAAAATCTTACAACAATATATATTCCATCTTGTCAGTTTGTCTTCAAGCTACAAGTATGATGTGTTCTATATTGTGTATACTACATCTGAACGGATTTCCTTGCAATAGCTCTAAGGCTTGCCAAACAGATGTTGAGGGAAAGCCACTTAAAACATTCAATTTACAAAACAGAAAACTCAGTTTTTCTAAGGCCAACATTTTGGTCAGAGACCATCTTTTGGGTAATAATGCATACTAAAAACAGTGTTTATGTATATATATCTGATAGACAATTGATAGCCAGCCACTCAAAACTCTTGTCCGATAATACTTTATCAAAAGACTGATACTACTGTAACGCAGACAGACCCCGGTCGTCGGCAGGTGGGATCAAACCGGGGACTTTTGGAGCTTAGTGCATGAGCCTCTTCCGCATGAGCTAAAAGCCACCTGGCTCTTAACTAAGGCTGTAGAGCAGATTCATTTTATCTCTCTCTTTCTAAGTGGTGTTGGTGCCACTAGATGGGATAGAACACCACACCCAGGAGGTGTGTGGGTTACATACTTCCCCTAGCTGAGGAAGTGCATCCCCAGCTTCAGAGACTTCCCACTTGAAATCCTAGACGAGAGCCCCCACTTGTCACGCTGACAGACCCCGGTCGTCAGTGGGCGGGATCGAACCAGGGACCTCTAGAGCTTAGTGCTTGAGCCTCTTCAGCATGAGCAAAAGGCCAACTGTCTCTTAGCTCATTTTAACTCTCTCTAAGTTGTCTTGGTGCCACTAGATGGGACAGAACACCACGTCCAGGAGGTGTGTGGGTTACACTACCACCAAGAAAAGCGACAAACCCCTCAAAATTAAACAGATTAAACAAATAACAGGATAACAGCTGTATAAACATTCCCATTCAGACTCTCCATAGGGTCCAAACTATCTGTGTAAAGCTCTCTCTATATAAGGTCCAGAATTTCTTTCTAAGCTCCAGTTCAGTAATCAGACTTGACAGTGTCCTGCTTCACAAGGGTGTAACATGCAAAACTCGGATCAAATTTATGCAAAACCTTTTGTCTTCAGCATTCACAGCTGCAGAAAAATGGTCAGAACCTCCAAACATATAAGGCCTGATCCCATACTCGGATACCACAGTGATGTGTCCTATATAAATAGTTTGATCAATGGTTACTTCCCCAATAAAACAATCAGTGGTTTCAATAAGTGTTTTGCAGTATTGCCCACCCTCAGAATTCAAAGGTTATAAACTAGTCCCCAAAAAATCATGACATTGGCTTTAAAAACAGGATATTTGGGAAAAAACGTGTCAGTCTTTTTATTTGCCTACTGGTTTTGGGACCTTCAAAGTTCACATTTTCAATCTTGTCTTTGCATCCATGTGGATAGGATCTTTCATATTTAAAAAAGTAAGCCAAGATTCCCAAGTAATCACCTGTCTCCTGGAACTAGGGCTTTAAGAAAAAACACCAAATATTATGAGACATGACATAAAATCATGTCAGTTGTCAACACTGGTTTTGAGTGAGCAAGGACTGCAGGACTATATTTCATTATACCCTTGCTTCTACAGTCCTGGATGAATCAACACAAATATCTGTACGGTGTCTGTGTACATATACACACTCGTTTGCTTTTAAATAATTACAACCTTTACATCAGAATCTAGAGCTCTGTTTGATAAATATGGCTACCGCCCAAGACCTTTTTTACATAATAAACCTATAAAAAGACTGCCAGCTTCAGTACTTTCTTTGAATGGTCTGAATTTGTCAATCTGTGCACATCCAAAATCATTTCAATGTTTAACAAAATAATGTTCCCTATAAAAATAATCCCCCATTTTACAATAGGAACACTGCCCAGATTTGGGTCATTATGGAAGTATTTTTTTAACAAGGTTCTGTATTAATTTTATACATTTTTTCACATCATTCTAAGTACCTTACAAGTATATCTGATGCAAGTGTCACAAACATCATGAGAAAGTTGAACACAAACAGCAGAATTAATGTTTGCAAACAATATACTGTATAGAAGAAACAAAAGACTAAAAGAAAGTGTTTACATACTATCAGAAACATTAGCTACCAGAGCTAACAATAAATCTTAAAGGTACATACCTGAAAATCTTCTGAATATTTTCAGCTTTGATTTCCTTGAGAATATCATGGTAGAAATGAGGGTCACTTGGTTCTGAAGGCGTGGGGGAAGGAGGACATTTTTTGTGTGCATAATATCCTATTAAAATTCCAAAAATAAATAAAGTCAAAACTGTGCAAAATAGTTTAAATATCCGACAAAAGTTGCAGCGCTTGCTCTTTGGTGCTGGTCTTGTATAATGTGACACATAGTCCGGGTCTTCCTGAAGTCGCTGAAATCTTCCTTTAGGGGATGCCGAGGGCTGAATAGGCTCGAGATCAATGTTGGTGTTTTGTGAATTTCCCGAACGGTGATCAACTGTGCCATCCAGTTGGAAATGGTCAAAGCCAGGCTCCTCCAGCTCTTTTTCCATGTCCCATTCTAGTTCCAATGTGGTGGCCTGGAGGTCATCGTTGTCAAGGTATTGAGAGTGCCCCTGTGTTCTCTGGTCTGCGTTCACTTTGCGATAAGCCATCTTTTTACCTATTAAAAAATGACAGAAAGCAGTGTTTGCTTTATTGTCTATAGAAAGAATTTAAATATTCACGTGTGTCAGTTCTGTCATCATATGCAATAGTGTGTGACTCTCACTACACTTAGAGGGATGTGTGTGTCTATGTTTAAAGGAAAAAATTGAGTCCACAATGTTGCATTCTTCCTAAGCATAACCTTCTTTAATTTTCTTCTCAGTGCCATTATACTGTCAGTATTTCTATTAGCATCTCCATTTGGTATTAAAGAAAAGATTATAATAACGGTCATAGCATATTAAAAAGCATGAGAATGTAGGGAATATTCCAGTATTAACAAGGGAACATACAAGTTGCCCTAGTAGTTTTTTCTGCATCTTTAATTTCTATAGTTCTCTAATATAGCATTAATCCAGTGAGTACAGATGTTATATTTTCAAAATGTCCAAAACAAGTATTTATCAATATACTTCAACATCTTTTTGGAGCTATTGCACATGGCGCATGTCAATTTTTGTACACAGATTTCATTTCGCTTGACATCTAAATCAATCATGCTGCTGGAGTAAAATACAGTGTCTGGCACAATGGGGTCCTGGAACATGTCTAGGACTTGTAGGCCTTATGGGTAATACAACAAATAAATAAAAATAAAGTTAAAGAAAATATAAATAAAATAGCTTTATTCATCTGACTGCAAAGGCAAGGGAATGTGGGATTAAAGTTTGAAATTTGAGGGTGACACTCAACTTTACTTACACATCCATAAAAGGCTTCCATTTGGATAGACTGATCTATTATTTACAGGTATTAAAATGCATAGTTTCTGAATGACTGATGAATTTACTTAGAAATTGTCCCAGCTGCTTTGCTCCAGTTCGTTTTTCCATTTTAATGAATCAAAATTACTGCCAGGTTGGGATTCTTACCTAAAGCATTTACTTAATAGTAAAACATAACTCTAGCAATTCTAGACATTTCTACAGCTGTGAGAGCCTTCTAAGTGGAACCCTGACCTCTAATACAAACATTCAAAGTCAATTCTCTACAAATCATTTTTAAACTGACTGCAGTGATGAGGCTCAGTTTTCATCCATACTTTGACAATAGACCTTCCATCACATGAGCATCAGCAATTTAATGCTTTTCAAACTTCAGACAGACTCATCAATTAGAATGAAATGCAGATACACATATTAACTCCTCACAATGATGGATATCTGAGTGACATCCGCACTGCTACCTTCCTTGTTGCACATTAATACATTTTCTTGATCTAAGACCTCGCTTCCAGATGGCATTTTCTAGGTCGCATACTGGATGAACTCACTTTATATGACAAAATAGAAAAAGAGTTTAGCAATAATCTTTGAAAAGAATAAAAGATTACAAAACACAATGATCTACTGAAACAGCCTATCATACTTTTAAAAAAAAAACTGTCTTGCTCTATACAGTACCTAACTTAGGAATCCTGTTTCCCTACAGAACATCTGCCATTTCAATGTCCCTTTCCTAAAAACAGACAGCAGACAGGGTTACAACAGCCAACAGGATACCCACTTAAGGTATACTATACACTACAGTATTTTATACCACTGCTCCCACATACATTTTGCACCCGATCCTTCCATCCCTACTCAGACAAAACTCCCACTGACTTCAGGGGAAGTAGATACAGATGCTAAGATATGACCCAAAACAACATTTTAGATGGTCAAAGTTACAGTCAGATTAGCGGCCACTTAGAGGAGATTAAGACCATCCTTGAAAGGGATCAGCAGTCTTCCCAACTTTCAAGGCTGAAAGTCCATTGCCAGTTTTACCTAATGCTACTGCAGTATCTGCATCATTCACTTGTATTTCTCAGTTACCAGTGTACTACTCAGTTAGTTACTACAAGGGAATAACTTTAATATTGCAAATATAGGGGTTACTAACTGCAAACATTTGGACCATGGTTTACTCATAGACTTCGCTTTACATTTGCATGTAGTCCCACTGAACTTCTTAAATGACTGGAACAATTTTAGATCAGAAAAAATAAGTCTTTGAAAGTCTGGTTTGATTTTAAAGGAATATAAACAAAAAACTTACATTTAATTAACTTTTTAAAAGAAATTGACACAATTCAGAGCTCAAATAAACATGCCTGTCTTAACTCATTCAATTTTGCTGGGATGGGATATTGTGATGCTTTATTTTAACAATGACCTGGAGTGATGTTCTTGAAAATCTTGCCATTGGTCTCAGATAAACAAGGGCTTGATTCTGCAAGATGTTGATCACAGAACCCTCCTCCATCTAGCAAAACTTATAGGCATGTGCTTAAAATTATGCATGTGCTTCAGTGCTTTGCAAAACAACATCCAGAATCCCAAGAAGGTCCTGATCCTGCAAAAACTCACACGCACATTTAATTTTATGCATCTGAGTAGCCTCACTGAGTCTCATGCTTTTTTGTTAGGGGTGGAACTGGGTTGCATATCATCAATATACAGTGGTCGCAATTAAAAACAGTCAGCCCTTATGGACAGCTGCCAAACCACAAGATCTTTGCAGGTTAATGGGGGCTGGGGGAAGCGGCGGCCAGCACATCCCTCAGCCCACGCCACTTCCCGGAGCTTCTGGGAATGGCGAACCGCGGCCAGTGGGAGCTGCGATCGGCTGAACCTGTGGACACTACAGGTAAACAAACCGTCCTGGCCCGCCAGCGGATTTTCCTGACTGGCCGCGTGCCAAAGGTTGCCGATCCCTGTACTAGATTAATCCTACAATCCAAAGTTCAACTCAGTTTTAGATTTGAAACTGAACCATATTTTAGAATGTTTTCATGACAATACATGTAACTTTGTTAAAGAAAACACAAAGAATAACCCACACCCTAGGATCCTGATGCCAAATGTACTGTTAGAGTAAATGGGAACAATTCCAGCTGTATTCCAGAAGTGCCTAAATCCCCCAGCTCAGATCAGGGCCCCATTGCAGGTCTACCTATAGCAACAGTGATACCAACAACTGGCCTTTCTCAATTTCAAAGATATACTATATAGTATGAGGTGAATAGTGTAAGATAACCAATTAGCATATTTCCTAACTGGTTTGAGGAGACAACTTGATTTCAGAGGTTATGAATGAGACCAAAGATCAAATAAAGAAAAAGAAAAGAAAATCGAACAAATGTATCGGTATAGTAAAAATTAGGCAGTAGGGAGATTAATAAACTTTAAGACCAAAAAGGATCATTATGATCATCTACCTAGTTGATAAAATACATCCAGTCTTGATTTGAATTCTTCAAGAGAAGGAGAATTCACCACAGTCCTAGGTAAATGGTTCCAATGGTTAATTACCTTCACTGATGAAAATATGCCTCCTTATACAGAAGGACTCCAGGACAAAAAGGCTGAAGCTGCACAAAGTGAACTTTAAATGTGCCCTAAAGGGACAGCTGAGGATTTCCTTAAATTGGGGAAACCTGGGCTACCTTAAACTTGTGCACCTCCAATTCATTATGAGGAAGGGAGAGGACTATTAGATGGACATATAGCTACTACTATTTGCCGCTCCAGTTAACTGTGGGAATAAAAACAAAGGCATTGAGCACGGGCCTGCTAAATCCATGGTTGTGAGTTCAATCCTTGAGGGGCCATTTAGGGATCAGGGGCAAAATCAGTACTTGGTCCTGCTAGTGAAGGCAGGGGGCTGGACTCGATGACCTTTCAAGGTCCCTTCCAGTTCTAGGAGATGGGATATCTCCATTAATTTAATTAAGGACATCAGTGCCCTTAAGTGCCTCTCTCAGGATACTGACCTGTCCTTTAATCTTAAAAATGTGGCATTTCTTGTTTGTGGCCCATGTCCTGTTAGATGTTTGCGCTGATCTGTTCTGTGTGATCTATTTACAGCTTGAATGCCTGTGAAAGAAGCCCTAGAAAAACATGCAGTAAGGATTACAAGGAAAATATCATACTTGACTCTCACCTATTTTAGGTATACACAACAACCCGCTCCCATGATTGCTTTATCAGATCCTTAAGTTTTGACCATGACCTATGAATAAATTGCAAAACATTCCCCGATCTTTCCACAACCCCTCTTTCCATCTTCACCACTGGCCATTTTCGTCTCTGCATCAGTGAGACATATGACAAAATCTCCTAGACTGTGATTGATGCTACTGACTGTCTTTATGGGATGCCACACTTCTTTTTAGTCCTACTATTTGCTCAACATGAATAGCTTTGAGACCAATAGCCAGATCACTCACAGCAGGAAAGGGTTGTGAGGTCTAGCATTTACTCCATGGTGTAGGCATGGTCAGGATAAAAGTCATGTAGAGTGTTCACTACTGACAAATCAGCTTTTGCTAACTATTACCACACATCACTGTTTCCCTCTATACTCACCATAAGAAATAGTGTGGGTGGTTGGAAAAGATGACTTTTAATAGTGTTTTTTCATCCTGGTTTTTGGCATGTCATTGGTGGTTTGTCTCATTGTTCTTTATCCAGATTGTTTTTTGTTTTAAGCCCTTATAATGATTTTGTACCTATGAGTACTGTATCATAGGTGGGAAGATAATATCAAGTCTCCTTACGGGATTTTAGCTCAATATTGCTGCAGTTATGGAAAGTTAAAGTGCCTCCCCAGAAAGCTAATACAATGTCAGCTGTTTAAAGGGAAAACAGCTGCCCTCATTCCTGAAATCAAAATACTACACACACACGGAATGGGAACTTTAAGGTAGTAGAGGATCACAAAATACACTAAAACCCTTTGGTGGACCAATGTTGGGTGATGCAGGAGGGTTGGGAGCACTGGGTCCTGCCATGCCGGGGTTAAGTGGTCAGGGGGAGGGGAGACCTTTGGGGGGAGGCAGGATTAGAAATAGAGCCCACCCCTCACTCACTCACGGCAGCTCCTGTCACGTGGGTCTAGGCCTGGCTCCTCATTCCAACCTATTAGCACTTGCCATAGTGTCACATGACACACAAATCCACACATAGGCATGAACCTCCTCCCGTGGTACTCCACCCAGTTCCTGGCACCGCTGGATTGCCTAATATTAGATGGGATGGGCCAGCCTGATGCACCCCCTGTGCAACCAGTT